CGGCTGACAGACTCTCTTCCGTACTTATTTTCCTCATATTTCCCCTATATATATATATTTTCCTCTCTTGATCCCCCACCCCCCTTATCTTTCCTTATCTCTCTTAGTGTGTGTGTGTAACAATTCAACTTGATTGCCATTTGTTTTAGCGGGCTGCTGTCCCGTTTTACCCCGGCTGTATTTCCCCTGCTCCCCTCCCCCTCCCGCATTCCATCCGGAAAATGCGGGAAATGTTTTGCGGCCAACACACGCACACTCAAACAAACACACAACCCCTCCTTCCCTCCTTGGTAAGCGGTGTATTCAATTAAACTTCCGTCAAACATGAAGGAAACTCCCGGTTCCTATACTCTCCCCCGCCGTACCTCGCCTCGGAACCTGCATTTTCCAGTGCGTCCCCCCTCCCACCACTCAACATTTTCCACTCCCGCCACTCATACCGCTGCAGTACTTGCCTCGGGGTTATAAAATAAACATGTTGCCACACACAAAATTTAAATAGATACAAGTTTGCTGCCACACTGCATAACACAATAAACCGCAGTAAAACAAAAGGCGGATGGTAAAAGTACGCCAAAAGAATGGCCAAAAAACAAGGAGAAGTAAGGAAAAAAAGAAAAAGAAAAGAAATTATGAAGATGGCTGTAAAAAAGCCGGAAAATAAGGATATCACTCAGGTTAAGGTTGTCCATGGTAAGTCATATTTAATACAGACTTTAAAAGTGACTCCTGGGAAAAAGGGAAATAAATCCTAAAAAAAGAAGAATTAAGAGATGTTTGTAACATATTAAATTATAGATCCATAGATAAAATATTAAATTTTACTATATAATTAATTACTAAATGTTCCAAGAACTCCCTAGGACTCTCATTACGCTTCCTTAATTTTTATGCTCTTCCCCCTCGAAACAAAGGCAACTTAAAGACAGCAGTCGCAGCAAAAAGCAAGAATGATAAAAAAAGGGAAATGCGAAATTAAAATACAATTTGACGGCATCAAATAGAGCAATTAAGCGGCATCGCTCCACCCACAAAACGTACATTTCCCAAGCAGCTTGTCCTTTTCCTTTGCCTGCCCTCAAAAGTAGGCAACACTGGCACACATGCGAGCCGGAAGGGGGGAAAAACTGGGTGGAAAACTTGATTACAAGTGTCGCGGAAAGCCCCAAAAAACAACTTAAACTGCGGCTCCATAACCATCATAAGCAGCAAAATACACATGCATGCACTGTGAGAAAATAATGAAAGCCGAAAAAGAGATTAAAAGTGAAGAAATGGGAAATACAATAAAAAGAAATAGTATATTTTCAGTAAGAAAATTTAATAAAGAACATATTTTTGAATATATTTTGAAGGCTACGTAATGTTTAAGTATTAAAAATATTATTTTCTGACTAAATTGAATTAATTTTAAACCAAAATTCAAATGTTTGAATGTAAATGGTGCAAATATAAATCAATTAAAATAAATAACACCAACTGTGCCCAGTGTATGTATTTTGTACCCGATTGTCTGGCATTGTTGTTGCTGTGCTGCATTTATTTTCCACATTCGCATTTGTATTTGTTGTGCCATTTACGCAATACAATACGAAACAACAAAGGACTCGCGCTTTTAAAGGCAGCAACAGGAGCAGCAGCAGCGTCAACTATTTGCAGTGGCAACAAAGGAGCAACAGCAACATCCTCTCAGCAAATATCAGGCTTAAAATGAACAACAAATGAATTAGCTATTGTGTGTGGCTTCGACTTTCACAAATAAGAAAATAATATGAAATAAGCAGAAATAAAAGCTAATAATTGTAAGGGGAGTTATTACACAAATTATAAGTATGTTCTGATTAAGCAATGCACAAAAAAACCAATTCCTGGAATTACTTCTTATAAAATAATAAATATATAACTGAAATCGAATATCAAAACATAAAATAATTAAATTAAATTGAACTCTAAGAATAAATATTATAAATTTACTTGTTATTTATTTGCTTTTATTTCTGTGACCTTTTTATTTATAAGTAAACTATAGGAAGTTATATATTGTAGTGGCAACATGAGGCGTCCAGCAAACAGGCCACATCTACAACATTAACACGGCCAATAGGCAGCAGCAGCAACAGCAGCAACAGCAGCAGCAGCAGCAGCAGCAACAGCAGCAGCAGCATCAGTAGTTGCTGCAACAACAGGATGAGTGTTGCTGCCGCTTGACTAGTTCCAATGTGGAACTGCTGCTGCCGCTTGGCTTCCTTCTTCTTGGGCTTCTCGGTGTAATTCGAAACACTTGTGTCAACGTGGCCAACACTCCTTCGCATTTTCCGCCCATTTTCCGAGTCCCTGCCCCCGCTTTTGCCAAGCCTGCTGCTGACATGTTTCTTTGGGGTGGAGGATGTTGCTGTTGCTGTTGCTGCTGCTGCTGCTGTTCGTCGTGTTGCTGTTGCTGCGGTTGTCAGCGTCTTATTATCATCATCAGTGGCAGCTTTTGGCGGTTTTGTATATTTGCAGGCAGGAAGAAGGACTCCTTTTCTTCAGTTTTCTTTTTTATATTTTTTTTCTTGTTGTTTTTATCATCTTAGTTGTAAGTTCTGGCAGAGGATTGTTCTTGGTTTTTGGTGGAAGTGGAGGGTTGCTTACAATGAAATTCACTTTGCCAAAAAGTTTTCATTTCATTAAAATGTGTGTGTGTGTGTGAGTGTGTATGTCTGGGAGTGTGTGTGTGTGTGTGGTTAACTGACATGCAAGTAATTCATCAAAAGCAAATGCAACCAACAAAACTGACGGCAGCTGGGAGCCGAGAGTTCCTGTGTCCACAACTTGTGCCACACACACACACACAACATACACTCGAAAAATAGTACAAAAATAAAAACAAGATGCCAGACTTTTCCACATAAAAAAAAACGAAACTAAATAAAGTAAAGAGAAAATAAGAAAGCGAAAGTTTTTTTTGGCAAGCATAAGGAACTATCTAAAAAGGAGAGAGAGATGTGATGTTTTGGGTTAAGACCAGTGCCAGCAAGAAGGGGTTAAGGCGATGGTGTCAGAGCTTAAGAGACACGGAGCTTATGGGGTTAACACAGCGTGTGCGAATAATTTGCATAAACATGCGAAAATTTAATTATCTTTAACGCTCGCACAATTATCAAATATTTTCTGGGAACACATAAATTACGAAAGATATTTGCAGGCGGGTAAAAAAGGGATTACGAAAAATAAGACGACCCTCTTTCCACCTCAAATCCCATTTATTATACGCCGAGTGTCAATCAAAGTTAACAAATGAACAAATGTCACCGAAACTGGCCCCGAAATTAACGGAAAGACCAAACAAAAGGAGTGAAAGCTAAGGAAATGATTTTCTTCATTTCTTTTGCAGAAATCAAAAAGTTTTACCATGTTTTACTTATTATTTCTCCCCACATTAATTGACCTTTTTTTTTTGGGAAAGCGACGGAGATGTGTATAAATCGGTTTGGGAAATCGAAAATCGGGGAAAAAGGTGAAAGACTCCCCAAAAAATTTAATGAGAAAATCAAAAGAAAATAAGGGTGGGTGGAAAAGGGCGAATCAAGTCTGAAGTCTCTTTAATTAATGGACAATCAAAAGGGACCCGATAACTAAACAGGAAATATCTTATAATATTTCTTAAAAAATATATTAAAATAGTATACTACATTTTAAAATATAGGAATTAGCTAATCAATCAGAAATTCAGAATCGAAATATTCCCACATTTGAAGAAAATATATATTCCTTCATGAGTTGTCTTTTTGTTTGAGGATTAAGACTTTACATATTTATATATAATAGTCCTGAATCCAAGAAGAATCTTTTAGGAAATTATTAGATAAACCTTGGTAAATAGAATAAAACCTTTAGAAGATTTGCCATACAAAATATTAATATTACAAATTTGTATCAATAGTTTTAACAATGTTTCACAATTCATATAAAGCCCAACAAAAATGGTATCTTTTAAATAATGATCTCTTTAAATTCTTCTTCAAAACTAATTATTGAAAATCCTTATAACATTTTATATATTAACCATGAAAATGCATGACTTAGGCTCCTAAAACTATTTCGATTATGAGAAGTACGAAATTGATGGCCATTCTGGTGATAGGGGGGTGCCTTTATTTTGTTCAGTGCTCGATACACTGTAAATGCTTTTGGGTACCGCTTAGCACTGTGATTAAATTCAACCTTAAGCTAGCTGTGATTACTTAACTGTGCAACCCCCTTAAAAAAACGTTTCGGTAACACTAGAAATTCTTGCGTTTAATAAGTACATTCACTAAATATGGATGCATCTCCAAACACCATCCCTGTTTTTCTCTTTCAATTTTGTTTGCTTTTCTGTCGTTATTATTTTTCTTTGTTTTCTTTTTGTTTTTGTTTTAAACAATTTAACATTTTCTACTACAACATGTGTGTATGTTTAAATGTTGGAATGTTTTTTTTTCCGTCGAGTGTTGAATGTATTTACGCTTGTTATTTGGCTTTAAGTGTTTTAGTGGAAGTGTTGGTGTAACCATTTTCTAAATCAGTATGTTTGTTAATGTCTTGTTTTATCTCTTGGAGAAAGAGTTTCTGTTGTGGAGATTTGTTGGTGAAATCTAAATCTTTTTTTGAGTGTCTAGGTAAGTGTGTTGGTCAATGAGTCAACTTTACCCAGAAGAGAATGTATTTGTTGTGGAAATGTGTTGGTGTTGTTGAATGTCCTGCTTCTTGAAGAAGTAGAGACCGCAGAGTTTGTTGTTGAATGTCTTGTCTATTACTCAGTAATGTCTTGAGGGAATTTTTTTATCTGATTATGAAAGTGTGTTTCTAAGTGAGTGTTGAGTTTTTTAGTGTGTCTGTTGTATTGGTGAAATTGTGACCGAATATCCATTCGACTGCGTATTACACTCTAAAACATGTGTGCTGTTCGCCGGGGAGACTGTCCTCCTGGCGGATGTGTTTTCTGGTGAATGTGTCGCCGGTTCCATTTGGACTGCGTATTATAAGAGGCAGAGGCAGAGCGCGAGCAGAAAGCCGGACATGGCCGACAAACCCATTAAGAGCGGCTGTCGACATTGCCGGCTACTCCGTGGCCAGGAGTCCAAGGACAGGGACAGTGACAGTGGCAGGGTGAGCAGCAGGAGAAGCAGCATCAGGATGGGGCATCGTGGTGTATTGCCCCGTAATCGCGAGCCGCCGGAGCTCATTTCGTTGTTGTCGATGGGTACGCGCCCTTCCGTATTGCCGCCATAATAGGTCGGCTTACGGGTGATGCCGCCACCTCCTGAATCGCCGCCTGCTCCACCTGCGCCACCTGCACCACCCACACCCCCAACTCCACCTGCGACCGCTCCGTGCTGCTGGTGATGGTGGTGGTGATGGTGCTGCTGATGTTGATGCTGATGCTGATTGCCGCCGGAGCTGCCTGGCTTATGTGTGGCCGGTTTATTGCCGCTGGTGTAGTAAACGTGCGGCGATAACGGTGTCAAGCCACCACCACCACCACCTACACCACCCAGACCTCCCCCATCGCCGTAGCCACCGTCGCCATCGAAATCCTCAGAGGATCCGTACTGCAGCTCCTCGTCGTCCGGCTGGTAGGTGACTTTGACTTGTTGTTTCTGCTTTAAAATGTCATTGGCATCCGCGTCCAGGCCTCCAGCACCGCCGCCGCCGCCGCCTTTTCCGCCGCCGTTCGAAGGATTTTTATTACGATTCGGTCCGGGGATTTCTGTTGTGAGAGGAAAGAGCAAAAAAACAAAAGGAGCAAATGAGAAAATGTAATTGAAACAAAGGTGCAAATACGTCCCATTTCGCGGATACATCTGACATGAGCTGGCACAGTTGCACTCACAAAAATGGAGTCAAAAATCGGAAATATATAAGTGGAACAAAAAACTTTCTTCTAAGGCAAATAAAACATAAATAAAATCACTTGAATCTTACAGTTTATGAAGGGTTTCGAACTTTAAATAATAATAAATGAGTGTCCTTAACTGTAGTTACCCCTTCATGAAGTACAAAAGGAAGTTACATATAAAACTCACCATATAACCGGATGCTGCTGTCAACTTCACCCAAAGAGTTTTTGGCTATACAGCGATAGGATCCGACATCGTCCTTTTGGAATTTTCGCACTATCATTGACATTTTTGTCTCGTACATGGACTGAGTACTCTCCTGGACATGGTACTTGTTAGATGTGACTATCATTTCACCTGTTTTGTAATTATCAAAAACAAAATGGATATTAAATATATTAGAAATATTATATTAAGCAAGCTTTGAATCTTAACTTCGACTTGTGTCAGTCTCCATTGCTTTTCATAAAACTCAGTTCAAATTATATTCTCGTATAGACCGCTTCGCATCCAACAAAATAATAGTCAAAAGGAAAAAAAAAATTGTATTTACAAATCTCAATATATTTCCACAAGGAAATTCTGTGTTTTGAAAAGAAAAGTGATACAACTCTATGGTAATTTTTATTTAGGTAAGTGGAAAGCAACAATTTAAATAGTGTTCGAGACATCTATGACTTGGTTTAGCTATCTTTTGTGAACTTTTTACAAAGGATATTGTTTACAAAGGATTTAAAACCGTATAAACTAATGTAGGGACTTCTTAAGATGCCCAGTCTTGGACTCTCTAGTTGTTTATTTCATAACAAATTTCTCTTACATAAGCATATAGAGACACAGCATATAAACTAGACCTAGAGGGATTTAGAAATTTGGGAGGAAAACCCCAAACTGGGACAGGAACAAGGAGAGGGATTGGGGCAGGAACCTTTTTGGACGCGGCAGCACCTGGAACGAGTAGACGAACGAACGTGCCACAATCTGACAACTGACTAATGACAATGCCAACCGAGCCGACTCGATTCGATTCGAATCGATGGAGTAATGATGCGCTCTCGGCCCCATGGACCGGCATCTGCATAGATGCATGTATCCTGGGCCCCCCTTTCATCCTTTACAACATGTGCATCCATATATATCTTTATATATATATATATGAGGCAGACAGGTCTCCTCACACACTTACCCGTGTCCTTAATCCAGTAGTTAATTGATTTGGGCGAGGCCTCGACGTGACACTCGATTTGAACATCAGTGCCAAGTGGTGCGCCGACTAATTGATTCGGCACTTGGATGACTGGGTGAACTGTAACGACACAGGAGCAGAAATATACGAGAGTGAGTGTTATGGGGTATTGTTTGAGAGATGGCTAAATAAAACAAATCCAAAGGATCCACTCTTGAATTAGCCAAGGGTTTTACAGCCAACTTTGTGTACAAAACTCTTTGTTTTACTTTGTAAATACTAGGCTGCTCTCATAGTTTATTGTTCTTCACTTCCAAGTTTTAGATTCAAAAGATCAAGCCGAGAAAATGTTGAACTGTACAAAGATCCTGACCGATCAGCTGGGCTTCTCGGAGGATAAACTCGCTTTCCTTGCCGGTTTTGGTAGATTTGTGAGCGGTCTTCGTCCCACCCATAAGACGCTGATGTGTGTGGGCGCTGCCACTGTGACCTGTATGCTGGTGGGTCTTACTGTCAAGTCGCTAAAGAAGAGTGGAAAGTCGAACCGCAACGGAAATGGTTACAAAAACGGAAACGGAAGTGAAGACGATGATCTAGCTGCATGCAAAATGAAGCGCATGTCGATCAATATAGTGAGCGGATCGCAGATTAATCCCAATATGCCGGTCATGGGTATGGATAATGATACCTTGCCACCGCAGGATCCACTGCAAGTGGATCAGGGACTCGGCGAGCAGGATACGATCGCTATTATATCAAAGTAGGAAGAATGGAGACAAGGATATGACCAAGCGCCGTTAACATTCAACAAAGTAATAACTATAAATCAATATGATATATATCATTTCATATGTATATATTTTGTAATTTGTCAAGCCCCCCCCCCATATGCAATCAGAAATATGTTCCAATTAAAACCTAAACACAAAGACGGCGTCCTGTCACCAAATTCAAAGGACTCGCAAATTATTTCAAACCTTTGAGGCAAATGCTAGCGAACTTGAAGGCCAATTGAGTGTGGCATAATTTGATGGTGTGTGTCGCCTCCTCCAGACTTTCCAGCAAAAATTTTCTCCCCACTCATTTGCCTGCAGCCAGGGAACTCATCAGAATGCAGAGAGCGTCTATTCTGCATTGACAACTCTTTTGCCGATGGCCGAACTTTCGTATTTATTGTCACTTAGGCTCCCTTTTTCAGGTGAGACCAAGGCAGGGGCGTGCATTTAAGGGGGGTGCGGAGATGGGACTGAGACTGAGTACGGCCATGACCAAAATTGGTGGTTTTGTAAAACCTGCAAGGGCTCCAAGCTTCGAGCTCCACTCCGATCCCTGCCAGATTGCACATTGTCCCCATCCATTTCTCCGCCCACTCTTGGCTCTTGAGACATTTGCGGCCATGTGCATTGATAGTTGATTGCAGAACTCTGGGAAAAGTGTCCTCCGGATGTCCTCCCCCGCCATGCGTAGAGTTTCCCCAGCCGGAGGGATTTTAATTGATTTCCATGGCCGACTGCCTTCTGTCTTGGCCATCAACTATCTCTAATCCCGCTTGCGGTTGGCCCTCACTCTTAAATTTTCATATATATGCATATATGCATATATGGAATAACTTTCTGACTTTGCTTTTGCCGCCGATCGTTTGCAAAATTGACACGAAATTCAATACTTTCTACACTAAAAACAAAAAGGGTTGTGAAATGTATACAACATAAAACGGTATTTTATTTTGAAAAGCATTGAGGACATGTATAATTTTTATTAATTAACATTTTCTACTTTGGTTCATAAGAAAATTCTTTAAAAATACTAACATTTTTGTCCTGAAAATCTACAAATAATAGCAATCTTCTTTAAGAGTAAATTAATGTATAAAAATATTGCCTACTTTTTAGGGTTACCAGAGCACAATTTACTTTTTCTCATTTCTGGCCATAATACTTGGCCTATTTAATTGAAATTTCGTAATTAAGTAGAAAATATAATGAAATTAACATATTTCATTCAACTAATTTTAGTTTACCTAAATATTACTAGAAAAACAGACGCCTCTGTGAGCTGATTTTCGTCCAACTGACCATCGGCCTTACGTGATGATGATTAATCCACATGGCCCTGGGATCGGGGGAGGGATATGGTTCGGGCAACTGCCACATTTCGGGTCTATCCCCAGTGCATTTATGGATAAAGGGTCGCCGGTTGCCAGTAGCCAGTAGCCAGTATCCAGTCACCATTCGGTAGTCTGGGCAGAGCTGCAGAGCAGTCCCTCGGCACTTTCGCTGGGCGATTTGCAATTTTGCAATGATTATTCTGAGCATGTTCCTGCCTGGTGGCCAACGGCCACCTTTCAAACCTTTCACCTTTCACCTTTTGGGCCATTCAGCCATTGAGGCATTCGGGCATTCAGCCAGGTCCTCGCCGGCTCTGCAGCTCTCGCTCAGTTTTGCGGCAAACAAAGCCACAAATATGCACTAATGACGTCGTCAGCTGCTGCCACTCGCTACAATCTCCACACAACTCGACCACCTTTGCCGTTTCTACCTGTTCTCATCTGGCCCCCGTCCCCTTTTTACCCAGACTTTGCTCCGATTTCCCTGAATTTTCCCAGCATTTTCCCAGCATTCTTCCCAGTAGCAGGAGCAGCAGCAGCATCAGAGTAGAGAGACTCCCATTTTGGTGGACAATTGTTATTGGAGAGAGCTTGAGCTCGAGTTGGTTAAAGGTGACAAAAGTCGGAACTCATGCGTGGTTAAGGAGATTCCACGTACAGTGCGTTTCATGGACACAGGCTGGAAGATGGGACTATGCCTAATGGAAGTTCTTGAAGTTAAAAAAGAAAACCTAGATTAAGAAGTGATAAAATAGCAAATTTAAAAGAATTTTTGATCATTTTTTAACTCTCCTAAATCTCTAAAAGAAAGTGGTCAGTTTTCAATTTTGAATTCCTTTCTTTTGCTGCTTTTTGGTGGCTTTTGCACGAACGTGATTTTTAGCATTTTGCCGCAGGATAACAGGTGCAAGCGTGCGTGCCTCCTGACCAACTTGCATCCGTGAAAGGAGAGTGAAATTGTATAGACCAAGATGCCACATCCGCGGCGTTAACCGAGATATAGCCTAGCATATAGAACACACATTGGTGCAAGGATGTGTTGCATGTTGCCAGCGGGATATTTACCAGTTCCTGTTGCACATCCCATAGGTGCAGCTAATTAGGGGAAGCGCCTAATAAGGCGGCAACGGAAGGCGCAGTGCAACGGAAATGGTTCAACGCAAAAGCGGCAAGCTTCAAGGCACTGAGAGAAAAGTATATATTAAAGAAATGTTGAAAATAAATATATTGTTGAGAGGACAAATATAAATTAAACGAAGTATTTAATATTTAAAAGGAATTTACATTTGAAGGTTTAAAAATGAAAAACTATCATCTCTTGTTAGATGTGTTAAAATTTCTCATTTAAATTCTATAAATCCTAAATTAAACCAAATAAATACAAATTAAAAATCCTTAATTTTATTTCAACCTATTTTCCATAGAAAATAAACCTTATTTCATTTAGGAATATATTTTATTCAGATTTACCAATAGAAAATTATAATTACTCTTCAAATCCCACTCAATATACCTTAATTTTTTAGCCGTGTAGCTTTATCAGCCAGTTGCAGCAGCTGGAAAGCATCTGCTCGTGCAACTGACTCCGGAAAAGTTTCCCCGGAAAAGCGGAAAAAGCGGGGACAACCGGGAAAAGTGTGTGGGGTGCGGGTGGGAGAGGGCTTGGGTTGGGTGCATCCACCAACTCTTTGGCAAACAAATTGCGAGGAAGTTGTTGCAAAATGGCAACAGGAAAAGTAAACACGCAGCGGAAAGTAGGGAAAACCAAAGGGAGGAAGGGAAATGCGAAGCACTCTCCACTCTCCAGTTGATCAAAAAGTTTTCCCAGGTTTCCACCTCAGCAGCGGCAGTCGCTGCTCCTCGAAGATAACTGTTAACCAGTAACTGTTTACTGCTGACAAGCAGTCCGAAAAAGTTGGACTTGGATGGTGGAAAACCTGTTGGTAGTCTCTCGATTTTTCTAAATTAAGATTCGAAAGGAAATTGTGGGGAAAAATATATATATTTCAAATTATTTGTATATATTTTTTCTTATCTTTACAAACTTGGACATTTGCTGACACCTTGAATATGATGTTGCTTTATGTTTTTTGTTTTTAATCATTTATTAGTTATTATGGGTCAGAAATGTTTGTTGAAATTGTAATTAAAATAAATTCTTCTAGAATATATGATATTTTTTTGAATTATTTATTGATTAACAAAGTAATATGATGTGATATAATATGATGTTGCTCTATGTTTATTATTGTTATTCATTTATTAGTTTTAATATTATGGGTCAAATGGGTTTTGGGTTATACCTTTTCAAATAATTTGCAAGAATACACTTAGTTAAAATTAAATTTATTAAAAATTAAATTTTTTGACTTATAAAAGAAGCAATAATTATAGCTTATAAGCAAACATTTCTGGTAGTGTTAAGGCCTATTAAATAATGTTTAAACAGACATATAATTAATTATTCATTATTATTTTTAAAGCTTAGAAATATTTGCTAAAGTTGTAAGTAAAATAAATTATTCTAAAATACATATAACCTATTTTTCAATTGTTTAACTATTAACAAAGTAATATAAATAAATAAATTATTCAATTTACTTGAGAAAAACCCATCTAATAACCTTTCTTCTTAACCTTTTCTTAGTACAAGGGTATACAAAAATTAAAGCTTTAGTTATGTGTTATAAATTCTATATATAAAATTCTTTATAAATTTTAACCCTGTTAGTTTATTAAATAATTTAAAATGCTTATTATTATTACTCATTAAAATTTTTTTTTTTTACTATATTTATGTATTTTACTATATTTATGGGTAATACAAGTTTTTTGAGGTTCTAATTAAAATTAATTCTTCTAATACATATGTACATATATATAACTCCATTTCTCCTCTTTAATGATTAACAATGTAATAAATAATTAAGTAAGGTATAAATTATTTATTTAATCTACTTGTAAAAAAAACACCCTACAAAATACCCTTTCTTTTTAACCTTTGTCGTACTTAACTTTAAAGTTATTCCTCACATACGAGTGCCACTTAAAGACCGCATTAACACAATGTCAAAATGTTAAAAGGCGTGATTTTTGCCACCTAACTCGAGGGGCGGCAAGGGGCTTCCCCCTGTTGCTGCTGCTGCAGTGGCAAACGAGCCAAAAAAACAAACAAGGCGAAAGGGAATGGGGCGGGAGGCGGTTTCAGGACAAACAAACGCAGTGGCCCGCCTCCCCCAAAGTTCCCCCCATTTTGGGCTGCCTTGATGATTGAGTGAACTGCCACATGGCAGCAGAGTCCAAAGTGCACACAGAGGGAGGGGGCAGAGGGTTCGGGAAAAAGGGAGCTCCATCCAGCACGTGCTGCAGACAGTTTGACAAAAAAGCTGTGGCCCACCGAAAAGGCACCTGCCTGCCGTCACTACCCCGCATTTTCATCCTGCCTCACAAAAAAAAAACCGACAACAACAACAAAAGAGGAGCACAGGTAATGCGCCGGTATCAGTGACAGGATTTAAACGGATTACAACAAGGACAATCGAGTTAGCACGGCACATAGAACATGGGACACAAGCAGTGGAAACCTCGGGGTTTACCTTCTGTCTTCAATGCCTTTTAACGCCCCCTCCCCCCTTTGTTGCTGGACTTTTCCAGCTTTTCCTTTTCACTCCTGGCTGCTTCTTTTGGCCTGCGGGGGCAGCTCCTTAAATGGACTTCCTGTCCACTGAGCGAAAATAATTATATTAGCTTTTACTGATTTGTTAGCAGTATACAAATATATTGTCCTGGGGGGTCAACGTTTATTCTAATTTTAGAAACAACATAGAGATATAACAAGATATTGATATAGAAGTTAGATTTTCGTAAAATTTAACACAAAATTGAAGAATAATACTAAAAGGATCTATATCAAAAATTTTCCGATCTTTCCTTTGGCTGCTATATACTTATGTTTGTCTATATATGTTTATGGTCCACCGATTCGCCATGATCCGATTTATATAATAGTCAAATTATATAGAAGAATGACTCCATAGTTTCAGTCAAATAGCTTGCTTGAAATTTGCTCCAAAACAAATCTCGCACATCTGTGCATATGATTCCCAACTTGTTCTGACATCCCCGGAACGAAGTGACTGCTGCCGGCGAACTCTCAGATATGTGTTGTGTTACAAAAGTTGCAAGTCATTGTCTGATAGTGTTCAAATTTAGTAACTGATCATACATACATCCTTACTGGTCATACATATTTACTTGTTAAGGGTTTAATGATCATAAATACTTACTGATCATAGATACGTAATGTTCAGAGTTCAGAGTTTATAGTAAAAGTTCCTGGATGGTAAATTATATTAGCTTATCACATATTTGTTCTGATTTAATATGTAAAGGAGTGGTCCCCAAATAACATACTAAATAAAACAAGAACCAGTTTTATAAATTAAATTCTGTAAAATATTTGATCAGGAATTTATCAGGAATCTTTCACCAAGTTCTTTCTGTGTAGGACTAAATGTAAGATAAACGCCGCAGCTGCCGTGGCCAAAACCAAGCTGGCTGACTGATGCCGCTGGTAAGGCTGTAAGACAACTGATGATGAGGTGGTGGCACTGGTACTAGTACCAGTCCTGCAACTGCCACTGCCACTGGATATGCAACACCGAGGCACCGTCACCGACACCGAATGAAGTTGACCAACCGCAGGCGCCTCTAATTAATGGCGCAACGCCGGGCCAGAGATGGTCAGTGCGGCGGACAGAGTGAGCATAGTTTGCATATATCTATCTATATATCTACATATATCTTATATATATCTCTATATAAGAGATAGGGGTACTCACAGTGTATGCTGAGAGAGATCCGCTTGGAGACCGATGGGGGCACTCCATTGGAGGCGATGCACAGGTAGGAGCCCATCTCGTTCCTAGAGATCTTTGACAGCTTCAGGACCTCGCCGCGAAAGGAGGGTGCTGCAAGGCAACGATAGAGGAAAAATTAAATAAAAATTGAAATATAGAAACCCCTCTAAATGGGGTCAGGTACTCACCTAGAGTCTTAGTGCCCATATTGTCCTTAAGGACTATCTCATTGCCGTCCTCACGCCGCCAGGTGACAATCGGTTCCGGATAGCCACGAGCTCTGCAAAGAAATATATAAATAATATATATACAATTGAAAATTTTGATTTATATTATATAGTGAATTCAAAACCTGCCAAACTCCAACTCAACCTTGAAACTCTAACAATCAAAGTTATTGCATCCCGTTCATAACACATAAACCGGAAACGGAAATGGCTAACGCCTTGGCATAAATGGCAAATACTAAATGGAAAATATTCAAGTTCAGTGGCTTATTAAATTTAATATGACGATGCCTCAGCATAGATTCTACAGCCGAGGGCTCCATTGTGCCCATGTTTGAGGCAAAAACTTTTGTGCAATCCAAGGAGCTGGGAAATAGGCAAAACGCTTGAAGCCAGCAGGCGCCGCCGCCGCCGAAGCTCAAGTGTGTGATGCAGTTGGAAAAAAAGTGTAAGTGAACTAAGGATACTCTATGAAAACTATATTTATATAATTAAATATTAAATATTTTATTTAGAATTATAAAATGCATAAAACCACATATCTATATTCCAAAATCAAGGTTGAAATTAAGTCTCGAGGAAGGAATAAGCTTAGCCTGGGAGAGTTCCTTTTGCACCTTTAAGCTTGTTTTAAAACACTTCAAATACTTAACAAATATGTAAAAACAATATATTTTTCAACAAGCAATAATTCTTAGAATCTATTCAACCTCTAATCACTTCAAACAACACAGGGTATCACTAGAGAGAGAGAGAGGTGAGGAAAATGCGTGTTAAGACAGCAGTTGTTCAACAGCGAACCAGACACGGGTGTGGTAAATTTTTATGATGCCGCAAACAGATGCAAAATGGCTAAAAAGAGAATCAACCAACACACCCACATGGCCAAACACAATGGCCAAACAGTTGGCTAACAGTCAGCGGCAGTTGCTTAGCCATTTTTAGTCGTGGCCAAGATGAAATACTTGTGTGTGAGTGCGGTTTTGTGGTGGTGCGGGGGGAAATCCAAAAGAAGGAATCTGTATGAAAATCTCTAGGAAAATCTGTAGGAACTTTTGCCAGAATCAAGTGCAATTTACATGGCCCAAAGACACAGCCAGACACAAGACGCGAACTTGGCTCAAACAAAGCGAATTTTAGCCGCCAACTGATGGAAAGCCCCTCGCTGTGTGGCCTTTTTTTGCTCCTTGTCTGATGAGAGTGGCTTGAATCGGAGTTTATATTTAGTTTTAATTAAATACTTGAAATATATAGAATATATTTATTTGTTCTTACGAATTTATTCCTCTGATCGGTATTCAGCTTAACCCCTGAGTTTATTAGTGGAAGCTTTTAATGTTCGTAACGCAAAAGTTGAATACATTTTAAGGGATTCGCACTAAGTGGCATTAAAAATGAACAGACGTAAAAACAAAAAATCGAGGGGAAAAAAGAGAAAATTCGCAGACAAGCTCTCTAATAGCTTTCCACGCCCACACATTCACACATGGAAAAGCGGTGAAACGCGCTTATCGCCATCGTTTCATCATTTTGCGGTTAAATCGTTAAAAAAATAAAATAAAAGGAAAACGAGAGCAACACTTCGTGGTTGCGGTCAAGTTCATAAATCAGCAGACCCAAACCCAAGCCCCCCTTTTAGCTGTTGGAGAATAACCAACACAAATTAGGGACTTAGGGAATGCTCCTAATATCCAAATACCCTGGAAAATGGCTTACAGCATTATGGATTCAATGGGAATCAATCGAAGTAAAATTTTTAAATCACAATTATGCCCAAAAATACTTAAAACTTTTATTTATAACAAACTTTTAAATATTTCTACTTGTATTGTCAGTCAAGTAAATATTTTCAAAGCTTAATTGCTTACTAAATTATCTCCTATTAGCTAGGAGAACTAGGCCCAATCTTAACTATTTATTTAAATTATTAGTAGATCCTTCTGATCCATGAAACTAACATTTTTTAAAATCTTTTTCAACAGCCTAAAACACTCGTTGGCCTTAAGGCCAGGGTAGCCAAGGAGTTACGGTGCTAAATCAAGAGAAATGAAGTGTCACTTAATTGTTGACATTATTACACCGAAAGAGAAAATGGGATGTGGCAGTGGGAGATGTTGAGCAGGAGTTGGAGATGGAGACTTCCTTTTAATACTCAATGGAATTTTGATGCAGTCAAAGTTTTCTTTGTGATTCTTTAAGGAAAAGAGAAACTTGTCTGTTCAAATTTAATAATTAACTAGCTTCGAACAGGCGAAGTTTTATACACTTGCAGTTTGCAGTTGTTAAAGGATCGAGTCGGAAACGGAGCCAAACTTACTATAAAATATTCCCATTCTTTGCATCAATATTTATCAATATTTATAAACTAAAAGCAACGTCTTAGCATTTCATAACTAAGCTAGAAATGCAGTGACAATTTGTAAGGGTTACATCGCCTTAAAATTTTTGAAAAAATTCGAAACGTCTGTTTTGCAACCTGAGATGGCCAGAAAGATTCGCCTGTTAATGCTGATCAAGAATATATATGATTTATAGGGTCGGAAATGGCTCCTTCACTGATAAAAATATATTTTCCTCTGCAAGATTCTTGAAATCGAAATTTGTACTTAATAATTTTGTAGTATTTTTTGGGACAGTCAAAGTTTAAAAATCGCATAACTTTGTCAAAAATGCATTAATTTCCATTCGGAAACCGCTCCTGCGTTAGTTGTTTGGCGCCTAACAAATCTGCATACCAAATTTAACTTTTTAAGAAATCCATTTATTTTTTAGATTTTCACAATTTAACGATGTAACCCTTACAATTTTTTCAAAAAATTCGAAACGTCTGTTTTGCAACCTGAGATGGCCAGAAAGATTATCCTGTTAATGCTGATCAAGAATATATGATTTATAGGGTCGGAAATGGCTCCTTCACTGATAAAAATTATATTTTCCTCTGCAAGATTCTTGAAATCGAAATTTGTACTTAATAATTTGTAGTATTTTTGGGAAAGTCAAAGTTTAAAAATCGCATAACTTGTCAAAAATACATTAATTTCCATTCGGAAACCGCTCCTGCGTTAGTTGTTTGCCGCTAAGAATCTGCATACCAAATTTAACTTTTAAGAAATCCATTTATTTTTAGATTTTCACAATTTTAACGATGTAACCCCTTACAATTTTTCAAAAAATTCGAAACGTCTGTTTGCAACCTGAGATGGCCAGAAAGATTCGCCGTTAATGCTGATCAAGAATATATATGATTATAGGGTCGGAAATGGCTCCTTCACTGATAAAAATTATATTTTCCTCTGCAAGATTCTTGAAATCGAAATTTGTACTTAATAATTTTGTAGTATTTTTGGGACAGTCAAAGTTTAAAAATCGCATAACTTTGTCAAAAATGCATTAATTTCCATTCGGAAACCGCTCCTGCGTTAGTTGTTTGGCGCCTAACAAATCTGCATACCAAATTTAACTTTTTAAGAAATCCATTTATTTTTTAGATTTTCACAATTTTAACGATGTAACCCCTTACAATTTTTTCAAAAATTCGAAACGTCTGTTTTGCAACCTGAGATGGCCAGAAAGATTCGCCTGTTAATGCTGATCAAGAATATATATGATTTATAGGGTTGGAAATGGCTCCTTCACTGATAAAAATTATATTTTCCTCTGCAAGATTCTTGAAATCGAAATTTGTACTTAATAATTTGTAGTATTTTTTGGGACAGTCAAAGTTTAAAAATCGCATAACTTTGTCAAAAATACATAAATTTCAATTCGGAAACCGCTGCTGCGTTAGTTGTTTGGCGCCTAACAAATCTGCATACCAAATTTAACTTTTTAAGAAATCCATTTATTTTTTAGATTTTCACAATTTTAACGATGTAACCCCTTACAATTTTTTCAAAAATTCGAAACGTCTGTTTTGCAATCGAGATGGCCAGAAAGATTCGCCTGTTAATGCTGATCAAGAATATATATGATTTATAGGGTCGGAAATGGCTCCTTCACTGATAAAAATTATATTTTCCTCTGCAAGATTCTTGAAATCGAAATTTGTACTTAATAATTTGTAGTATTTTTTGGGACAGTCAAAGTTTAAAATCGCATAACTTTGTCAAAAATACAATAATTTCCATTCGGAAACCGCTCCTACGTTAGTTGTTTGGCGCCTAACAAATCTGCATACCAAATTTAACTTTTTAAGAAATCCATTTATTTTTAGATTTTTCACAATTTAACGATGTAACCCCTTACAATTTTTCAAAAAATTCGAAACGTCTGTTTGCAACCTGAGATGGCCAGAAAGATTCGCCTGTTAATGCTGATCAAGAATATATATGATTTATAGGGTCGGAAATGGCTCCTTCACTGATAAAAATTATATTTCCTCTGCAAGATTCTTGAAATCGAAATTTGTACTTAATAATTTTGTAGTATTTTTGGGACAGTCAAAGTTTAAAAATCGCATAACTTTGTCAAAAATACATAAATTTCAATTCGGAAACCGCTGCTGCGTTAGTTGTTTGCCGCTTAAGAAGTCTGCATACCAAATTTAACTTTTAAGAAATCCATTATTTTTTAGATTTTTCACAATTTAACGATGTAACCCCTTACAATTTTTTCAAAAAATTCGAATAGTCTGTTTGCAACCTGAAATGGCCAGAAAGATTCGCCCGTTAATGCTGATCAAGAATATATATGATTATAGGGTCGGAAATGTCTCCTTCACTGATAAAAATTATATTTCCTCTGCAAGATTCTTGAAATCGAAATTTGTACTTAATAATTTTGTAGTATTTTTGGGACAGTCAAAGTTAAAAATCGCATAACTTGTCAAAAATGCATTAATTTCCATTCGGAAACCGCTCCTGCGTTAGTTGTTTGGCGCCTAACAAATCTGCATACCAAATTTAACTTTTAAGAAATCCATTTATTTTTAGATTTTCACAATTTAACGATGTAACCCTTACAATTTTTTCAAAAAATTCGAAACGTCTGTTTGCAACCTGAAATGGCCAGAAAGATTCGCCCGTTAATGCTGATCAAGAATATATATGATTTATAGGGTCGGAAATGTCTCCTTCACTGATAAAAATTATATTTTCCTCTGCAAGATTCTTGAAATCGAAATTGTACTTAATAATTTTGTAGTATTTTTGGGACAGTCAAAGTTTAAAAATCGCATAACTTTGTCAAAATGCATTAATTTCCATTCGGAACCGCTCCTGCGTTAGTTGTTTGGCGCCTAACAATCTGCATACCAAATTTAACTTTTAAGAATCCATTTATTTTTAGATTTTCACAATTTAACGATGTAACCCTTACAATTTTTGAAAAAATTCGAAAGTCTGTTTTGCAACCTGAGATGGCCAGAAAGATTCGCCTGTTAATGCTGATCAAGAATATATATGATTATAGGGTCGGAAATGGCTCCTTCACTGATAAAATTATATTTCCTCTGCAAGATTCTTGAAATCGAAATTTGTACTTAATAATTTGTAGTATTTTTGGGACAGTCAAGTTTAAAATCGCATAACTTTGTCAAAATACATAAATTTCATTCGGAAACCGCTCTGCGTTAGTTGTTTGCGCTTAAGAATCTGCATACCAAATTTAACTTTTTAAGAAATCCATTTATTTTTTAGATTTTTCACAATTTTAACGATGTAACCCCTTACAATTTTTTCAAAAAATTCGAAACGTCTGTTTTGCAACCTGAATGGCCAGAAAGATTCGCCGTTAATGCTGATCAAGAATATATATGATTTATAGGGTCGGAAATGTCTCCTTCACTGATAAAAATTATATTTTCCTCTGCAAGATTCTTGAAATCGAAATTTGTACTTAATAATTTTGTAGTATTTTTTGGGACAGTCAAAGTTTAAAAATCGCATAACTTTGTCAAAAATGCATTAATTTCCATTCGGAAACCGCTCCTGCGTTAGTTGTTTGGCGCCTAACAAATCTGCATACCAAATTTAACTTTTTAAGAAATCCATTTATTTTTTAGATTTTTCACAATTTTAACGATGTAACCCCTTACAATTTTTTAAAAAATTCGAAATGTCTGTTTTGCAACCTGAGATGGCCAGAAAGATTCGCCTGTTAATGCTGATCAAGATATATATGATTTATAGGGTCGGAAATGGCTCCTTCACTGATAAAAATTATATTTTCCTCTGCAAGATTCTTGAAATCGAAATTTGTACTTAATATTTTGTAGTATTTTTTGGGACAGTCAAAGTTTAAAATCGCATAACTTTGTCAAAATACATAATTTCATTCGGAAACCGCTGCTGCGTTAGTTGTTTGCGCTTAAAATCTGCATACCAATTTAACTTTTAAGAATCCATTTATTTTTAGATTTTTCACAATTTTAACGATGTAACCCTTACAATTTTTTCAAAAATTCGAAACGTCTGTTTTGCAACCTGAATGGCCAGAAAGATCGCCGTTAATGCTGATCAAGAATATATATGATTTATAGGGTCGGAAATGCTCCTTCACTGATAAAATTATATTTTCCTCGCAAGATTCTTGAAATCGAATTTGTACTTAATAATTTTGTAGTATTTTTTGGGACAGTCAAAGTTTAAAAATCGCATAACTTTGTCAAAAATGCATTAATTTCCATTCGGAAACCGCTCCTGCGTTAGTTGTTTGGCGCCTAACAATCTGCATACCAAATTTAACTTTTTAAGAAATCCATTTATTTTTTAGATTTTTCACA